ATGATATATCTTACATTGAATGAGTACTGGCTAGCCTATGATGGTAGTTAAGAATCGTGATATATCTTACATTGAATGAGTACTGGCTAGTTTATGATGGTAGTTAAGAATCATGATATATCTTACATTGAATGAATACTGGCTAGTCTATGATGGCAGTTAAGAATCATGATACATCTTACATTGAATGAGTACTGGCTAGTCTATGATGGTATCTTACATTGAATGAGTACTGGCTAGTCTATGATGGTATCTTACATTGAATGAGTACTGGCAAGTCTATGATGGTAGTTAAGAATCATAATTGTACAAACAACACTGCTTGCCACCATAATCATGATACAGGAGAAGTATGTTCCGATCAGAGGAGTCTCACTTGACGGTGGCTGAAACAGATTTGAAAAATAATATTATTCTTGATGTATCTTCTGGGAAATAAAGATCGTTGTTTAAAGTTAGTGTCTGGCTAAACATGATTGTTGATATAAGAATGCAGTATTATAGAGAAATTGTTTAGGGTTCATTTGAGACCCATCAGACGTTTTAACTGCGCATATTTGTTCAGCAATTGAGCGCAAATTCAATCTTTAAAATCCTCATAGATTGTGCATTTTGGAGAGATGATTTTAAGAATCGGTTTTATAAAAATTATTTAATAACGACGACAAAAAATGTAACAAAAATGATACAGTAAACTAATATTAGATGTTTTTAAACATAGTACACAACTAATATTAGATGTTTAAGAACATATTCCATAACTAATATTAGATGTTTATAAACATATTCCATAACTAATATTAGATGTTTAAGAACATATTCCATAACTAATATTGTTTAGGAACACAGTTGAGGATTTCCTGGAATGAGACTTTGGAATTTCAGCTGAAGACATGAACCAAAAAATGTAAACCAGGACCGGATTTAATAAATTTGAGCTAGGTCTATAGATACGGATCAACTATGTATCTTGATTCAGTGATTTAGGATTTTTTCATCTCTTACAGATATAAACTACGATAAATCACTTCATAAAATGTATTTGAATCGACGTTAGGTGGTTGAGCGATCTAGCTCAAATTCATTAAATTTGGTTCAAGATAAAAAAAAATTTCTCTAAAGAAGGTTTAACAATTTCACCCATTTTGACCTTATATAACAATATATTGTCGGTTTCTTATTTAAAAGAAATTAAATTGTTTAAAGTGTTTGTTCACTTTCATTTTTCATTTTCTGACATAGTAAAATTAGACCTATTTCTGATTCTAAAAAATTAATGTTTTTTTAATTGATCTTTTTTTACGTATTTAAAAAATTTTAACAAAAACCATTTCAAATTTCAATTCTTTAATATTTAATTTTTGTTTAAATTTTACCTGGAGTTCTGAGACCATGTTCATAAAGAAAGTTAAAGACATGAGAACTGTTATCTCTAACGTTACCTAAATTCAAGCAAAATATTTTATACAATTTTTTTGAAAAGAATTTACAGATTTAATAACGATGAGAACCAGAAAAACGATGAAATAAATATTGTCTTTGTTCTTCCTTTTACTTATGAAAGGTTGCTAAGGATTTATTATTTTCCAACTGATTTATTTCTAAAAATGTCAAGGGCACTTTGTAGTGATAGTTTAAGCACAAATTACAATTTTTTTATTTCATCTCATAAATTTCTAGACTAAAAATAAAACTAAGACAATGATCTCACTGTTTATTAATTATGTACATCTAATCTCCAGGGTGGAGGAGTAAACTATTTATAAACCAAGAGGTTTCATCACCAATTTATGCTTTAGATGATAAAATACTGGTCAAAATAATAATGTTTATTTTCCGAATAAATTTACTGTTAACAATTAAATTGCCTTTTTTAATTTTTATCAAAATTTAAATAATTCAACGTAAACATTAACCCATGTGCATTTTTAATAATGATAAATATTTATAAAGAAACTCTAATTTTCTGATCCCAATCCCATCTTTACAACTTGATGATGTAAACCTTTCATAATTCAAAATATGACTTATCAAATCAGTTTGCAAAGATATCAGGATTAGAAAAATTTAAGTCAATCAATCAGTTCCTTTTCGACCTTTTCGCCAGAATCTGGTGGAAAATTGAATCCTAATACCGCCATACTGAAAATAAAAATAAATTATTTTATTAGTTTCAACATTATTTTGAAGTCTAAAACAATCACAAGTTAAATACAAATTCTCGTTTTCAACAGAGAGTCGAAAATTTTTTTAAATATACGACAAACATAAAAACATTATAAATATTTTTAAAAACATTGAAGAAAAAAAATAAGAAAAAAATATGAAATATCATGTGTATTTATAATTCATTAGTTTTACTTCAGGTACTTTTTTATGTGTTCTATTGACTGTACAAAACACAAAGTTTACGAAAGAGTATATGTTTAAGTTATTTTTTAAACATTAAAAAAAAATATTTCTCCACTCAATAAAGATTAACATATTAGCCAAAGCCTTGAAATATTTAAAAAATCTTTTTTGGTTGTTAGACTTTATATTTATATTATTATAATCTGTTCTACACATGAGTGACTGTTGGTTATGGATAAGTTAATTGTCCTATAAAGTGTTCACTTGATGCCTTATTTGATTATCTTATTGAAGCTGATAACTGATTATTTGTGAAACAAAACATTGGCAAATTGTTAGAATTACTAACTGTATGAGTATATAGCACAAAGAATGATATGTGAATGCCGACCTAAAACTCTTTAAAGACCCCCCCACCCACCCCCTATATTCAGTACCTGGCAATAAGAACACAAGGACCAATCAGGTTGGAGAAATAGTACAGGGTCCTTCGCCTAAATAATTTCTATCAAGATTTATGAAAATTTATGATTAAAAACATTTATTTTAGAAAATATTTCACAAGAACTGACTCTCATATCTTTACTGAGCATACAAAGCATTCAAGAGAATCACTGCAAACTAGACTGAAGGAGAAGGTTAAATTTATGCAACATTACTGGTATGACTTTGTGACCTTGTAGCTCCTCTAGTTTTGATTTTACGAACACCTGTTAGAAGAGCAAAATCCGGATACATATAAGAAATTCAAAATGTGTTTTTTTTCAATCTGAGGTGCATCTTACTTTAGTTTGGCGTGAATTATGGTTTGTGAATTTTTGGAAGTTTTTCATTTTGAAATGAAAATAAAAATATGTTTTAATTGATATATGTATACTATTTACTGTATAGTGTATAGATAGTGTATAGTGTAGTGTGTATATATATTTATGAAACTCCCCCCGGAGTATGAATTATAATATCAAGCAGTGAATATTGAACTAATACACCTGTAATACCTAACTTTAAGTTTACAAGATACGCTACACAGAGTGTTAAGGTGATTTTGATAAATTTTTTATATTTAATAATAACTTTTTAAATCTAGCAACTTGAACTCCTTGAACTCCTTTAACTCCCTGACCTCCCTGAACTCCCTTAACTCCCTGAACTCCCTTAACTCCCTTAACTCCCTTAACTCCCTTAACTCCCTGAACTCCTTTAACTCCCTGAACTCCCTGAACTCCCTGAACTCCCTTAACTCCCTGAACTCCCTTAACTCCCTGAACTCCCTGAACTCTCTGAACACCCTAACCTCCCTGAACTCCCTGAACTCCCTGAACTCCCTGAACTCCCTGAACTCTCTAAACTCCCTGAAACCCCTAAACTCCATGAACTCTCTTAACTCCCTGAACTCCCTGAACTCTCTGAACACCCTAACCTCCCTGAACTCCCTGAACTCCTTGAACTCCATGAACTCCCTAAACTCCCTGAACTCACTGAACTCGCTGACCTCCCTGAACTCCCTGAACTCTCTGAACTCCCTGAACTTTCTGAACACCCTGAACTCCCTGAACTCTCTGAACTCGCTGAACTTCCTGAACTCGCTGAACTCCCTGAACTCCATGATTTCCCTAAACTCCCTGAACTCCATGAAATCCATGAACTCACTGAACTCCCTGAACTCCCTGAACTCCCTGAACTCCCTAAACTCCATGAACTCCATGAACTCCCTGAGCTCCCTGAACTCCCTAAACACCCTAAACTCCCTGAATTCCTAGTTTGAAAATCATTAAAGGTCTGTCTATGATATCAGATTGCAAATATATAAGGATCAGAAAGTTAGATTTCGTGGTGAGTAATCAGTAAATCTAATGCAAAATCTAAAACTAACATCGAATCATCTGGACTATAACATTAATATTTAAACTTTGATTTATAAAAAAAAAAAATTTGTTTAATTTTACTGCAGAAGTATTAGAACAGCTCAGAAACATAATATAGTCTTATTGTGAGCTACAGTGTTAACCAGAAAACTCTGGAATAGGAAAACCACTTTTAGACTTCAGTTTTGACTTTGAATACCTAAATAAACATGAGACACAGCAAACTTGCAGAATGTAAACAGACCCATTTCACTTAACTATTAGCTTTGTTACAACATCAAATACACTTCAGTTTTCTATAGTACATCTTTCTGGTTCTCATTGTAGTAAATAGTAACAGATTAAGTAAACAAGGGTTGGTATTTCTTATTTAAAATCATTCAAGATTCAAGATTTTTAAAGAACGTCATAGAGAGAAGAAAAAAAGATGTGGGCAGTACGTTTCAACATCAGCTTTTCAAATGAGATTTTTGATATTTTGACAATTTCAATCTTAAAAAATATTAATTTTGTTCGTTCATTATTAAGTTACCAGTATGGGTGACTTCGACGCCGGACTAGATCTAAAAGGAAACAAATATACATATATTTTATTCTGGTTTAGTTTTGAAGAAGAACCATTGCAACAACACAACTAGCTTTAACTTTTCATATATCGAATACTTATTTACGCGCGTAAGTTCATATATATCTATGTATTTAAAACAATAACTTTTCTTGACGCATTTGATCTGTTTGACACCCGACTTGAAGCTTAATTCTTATTCTATTATATTTTTATATAATATTATTGTTTCCCTTCATTATCTCTCATTCCACTTAAAAAATTATATAAAAACATGTACTGTATATACATTCAGTCGTAATGTCAAGTCTGGACTACCCAGTGTAGAGTAATTTCCATGATATTAAATATATGTACTTGTGGTTGAGTTAGATGTAGAAAGGTGGGTTGAGGAGTTGGAGAAGAACGGATTTGTTTGTCTCCAGGGAGTACTCAACATACACGAGATACAACATACCAGGGAGAACATCAACATTAAGAATTCGTTCTTGGCATGATCAAAATCGTTCAGAATCGTTTGAAATGAAAAGAACAAATTTGAAAAATTCTGGGTGCAATGTACAAGGTTTTTTTGTAGGTATTAGCATGTGACACTAGAAACAATAGAAGAAGACTCTAGATAATTTGTGGGAGAAATTATTAGATAATTTGTGGGAGAAATTATTAGATAATTTGTGGGAGAAATTATTAGATAATTTGTGGGAGAAATTATTAGATAATTTGTGGGAGAAATTATTAGATAATTTGTGGGAGAAATTATTAGATAATTTGTGGGAGAAATTATTAATTGTTCACAACTTCATATGCAGTTATGCAAATGAGTCTTTGCCACGAACTCTAATTTTCTAATCCCTATATCTTTGCAACCCGATGTCGTAGACTTTAGATATTTCAAACTATGAAAGTTGTTAGATTAAATAATCTAAATTTTACGTATCATAAGTTTACACCATCAGGATAGCAAAGATTTAGGAATTATAAAATTTATGTTTGTGACGATGGCTCAATTTCTTTAGTCTTATAATTACATTACTTTTTAACTCGACCCAATCCTGTTTTCTTGTTGCACAGAAACCTGTTCTGGGATTGGTTGGAATCTTTGGGATCTGGGATTTCAAGAGAGGATTCAACAACATGGAAGGTTGCAGTACGATTTACCACTTTCACTTAATTTTCTTTATCTTTCTTATTAATAAAGCTTTACCTCACATATATATATATATATATATACTTTGCTTGTCTGTCTCTCTGTTTGTATCCAATAAACGTCAAAACGGCTTGAGCTATCGGTCCCAAATTTTTGGGGGCCTTACATGATCCCAGGGAAGGTTTATGGAAGGAAAGAATTGTAAAATTTGTCTAAAACTTTCGTTTTTTTCAAAATCCACAAAAAAACGATTTAAAAAAGCAACAACCAATAATTAATAGTTTAAATAGAATATAGACGCTAAGCGCCCTGGAAGCCTAGTTCCGAAAATTGTGTATTATGTGTCTTTTTTCCCAAATGGGTGATAAAAACCTTTCAATTAAAGGGGAATTTATATTATCATTTGAAGGATGAAAACTGGCCTGGAGATTTAAAAACAGGGATTATTACATCACATGGAGGTGCACACTCTCAAGTAGGTGAATTTTTCATTTAGTTGATTGGTTAGTTGCTGGAATAGTTGATTGGTTGACTGATTTGTCAATTGTTTTGATAAATGCCTGGTTATAGAATAATTAATTTGTTAATGGATTAGTTAGATGATGGTTAATGGATTGGTTAATTGTTGGTTAATGGATTGGTTAATTGATGGTTAATGGATTGGTTAATTGATGTTTAATGGATTGGTTAATTGATGGTTCATGGATTGGTTAATTGATGGTTAATGGATTGGTTAATTGATGGTTAAAGAATTGGTTGGTTGATTTATTAATGGTTAAGTTATTTGATTGAAAAGTGGTTTTGCTTATTGATTGGTTAATTGATTGGTGAATATATTTCTTAAATAATTGATTAGTTGATTTGTAAATGAACTTTATTGATTGGTTAATGAAGTAGTAACATAATTTATTAATGGATTAAAAACTAGATTTTGAATGTCATTTGTTAAAAGATTAGTTTATTTATTTGTTGATTTATTCATTAATAAATTTGTTGATTAGTTGGTTGATTGATTTTTTAATAGGTTGATAAATTGATTTTTAAGGTATTGGTTAAATGATTTGTTAATAGATTGGTTTCAATTGATTTACACGTGCACTAAAACTGATTGATTAAAAACAAGGCTATGTGGTATATTCGGTCTTTGGATCAAGTAAAAGAGATTTTTTCATCCATCTGGGGGTCACATGAGTTAATGACTTCATTTGGTAAGATTTAATTACCTACAATTCATAATTGGATAATTATAACTTTAATGAGATAGTCAATTAAATATGAGAATTACCCTTTTTTAGTTAGATATTTACTCTATAACATTTGAGGGATATATCCACTTCAGTAAATGGATTTTTGTCTACCTTTAGAAAATAAAAATTATCCAAATCTAAAAATGAACACTTTTTAAATTACTTTAACTTATAAATAATAACCTGGTTTATGAAAACCATATGGGCCATGAATTTAATAGGGCTTCATGAATTTTATTCATCAAATTAATTCTTCTTCATTAATTTCAAACTCTTGGTTTCAGAAGCTCCTGTGATTTGGCGACCATGGAGTAGTCCAGGCAGTTCAGGATGGAAACCAGAGACAGAGGGATTGCATTTAAACCAGAACCCAACGAAGAAATCAGAATATCGAACTATTCAGGGTAGATGTTCAAAAATAAGATCATAGGATTAATTTTACATGTCTAGGATCAATTCTTCATGCCAAGGATCAATTCTTTAGGTCTATGAATAATTCTAAATGCCTAGAATAAATTCTACATGTCTAAGATCAATTCTACATTTTTAGGATCAATTCTTGATGTCTAGGAACAATTCTACATTTCTAAGATCAACTCTACATATCTGCGGTCAATTCTGCATGTCTAGGATCGACTCTACATGTCTTGGATTCATTTTTACTTACTTAGGATCAATTCTACATGTTTCGGATCAATTATGCATGTCTAGTAACAATTCTTCATGTCTAGGATCAATTATAAATGTCTAGGAACAAGTCTTCATGTTTATGATTAATTCTAAATATCTATCTAGCACATTATTTATCCAGAATCTATTCCTTTGAGTATCTAGTATCTATTCCATTTTATATCTAGAATCTATTCCATGGTTTGTATATCTAGGATATATTCCATTATTTGTATATAAAGTATGCATTTCTTTGTATATCCAGGATCTATTCCATTGTATATTTAGGATTTATTCCATTGTATATCTAGGATCTATTCCATTGTATATCCAGGATCTATTCCATTGTATATTTAGGATTTATTCCATTGTATATCTAGGATTTATTCCATTGTATATCTAGGATCTATTCCATTGTATGATGTTACTGAAGAGACTGGAGGTTTAGAATTTGTCCTGGAATCTCACAAGAAAGAGATGGCTGAACAGATATCTAAGGCCTATCCATTCTTCAAACATCTTGATCATTTTTGCCAGGTAGCTTTCTAGTTCTCAAATATTCAAGGATAAATAATTAAATTATTATTTATTTAGGGTTAGGTTAGGTTAAGACACTTTCTGGACTGAGCGCTGCGGCTAGGACAGGCTAGGGGGCCGAGCGCTGCGGCCACGGGTTAGGTTAAGTTATGACACTTTCTGGGCCGAGCGCTGCGGCTAGGGAGGTCGAGCGCTGCGGCCACATGTCTTACATTTAAGACCCCACCAGCTGCCAGTCTCTATGCAGGCATCCCACAGATATTATTTTTCTGGATCTATAAAATTCAATCCCCCTATCTCTGTTTTGGAATTTTCCGGGGCATTGCACACAACATGAATCCCACTCTGCCAGAATTTTATTTAAATTCAAGTCAATAGGCATGAGAATCTCACTCTCCCTAAAATTCTCGGTCCAACAGTGGCTTTAAATTTCCACGCGTTTAAACATACATTCAACACATGTTTTCTGGGTTGGGTTTTTTAACAGATAAATCTCCCCTAATGATATAGATGAGATGACTTGTTATCCTATCCCACTGCTATTGTTAACTATGGTTTTTTATGAGAAAGCCTCTCTCCATGCTTACAATATAATTTGATTTGAATTCATTTTTAGGTTAGATACAATGATTTTAAAGAAGAAGTTAAACTTGTAAAATGTTCAGCTGGAGATTTGATCTTATGGGACTCCAGGTGTATTTTAGGTGGGACAGGAGTATAGGGGTTTAAATTGGAATTCGGTTGCGTGGAATTGTCCGCAACTGTGTGGAACAGTTGCGCATAAGTGTTCTCGTATTGCGGGGAATTGTGCGGAATATTGTGCGGAATTGCTCGCAAGAAAATCCCACTTGGGTTGGAAACCTGGGCAGGACAAATCATCATCATTTCAAATGTTAACAAACCATAAAAACAGTTTTCCTAATGCAATATTACATGGTTACCCACAAAGGATGAGACTGTAAAGACGACCTGAAACTCATAAAATATGATAATTACTAGGTCAAATTAAGTCTTCAGCCTTGAATATTGTCTTTTAATGGCCTATTTCTGAACATGGCAATTAAAGAAACCAGTTTAAAGTTGCAGAGAATTCTAAATATAAGGAAATAGACAGTATAAATTCTGTACAGTCGTCTCTGAAGTCTCATCATTTGAGGGTAACCCTGAATATTTTTCAAATACTAAGATGCAGAATTTACTTAAAATAAAAGCCTTTTATAGAAAAGTTAAGCATCAAAATGATGAACATTTTAAAACTGCCAATTTTAACAATTAATCCCGTTTCCTAAATTGAATAATTTTAGGAGACAGAGTTGGGTCTTCAGATTTGCAGTCTATTAGTTCTCTTCTCATTAGGTATTGATTTTTTTTTTAATTAGAAGTTATCACTGTTTCAACAGAATCATGCATGTAAATTAAATTGACGAAAAAATGCCGCAAATCATTTCAAAGATCAAAGATGACTTACAATTCATCTACTTATACTGTCATGTTTCGTGGGAACATTGTACAGGGTATCCCAATAAACATGGGAATTCAGTGACGAATTCGATATTGTCTTTTAAGATAATTCTTTGATTTAGTATAGTGATACCTACTGAGAAAGTTGTAATCAGTAAGAGTTTCGTCTGCTATGTTCACATTTTGTTTGTTTATGTTTTGACTGCATAAGGGTGTACTTAGTAAAACAAGAAAATTACAGTATACAAACAGAGTAAACTTGTCCGTCTTCACTGTTCATCTTGCGAGGACATTATAGACACATCTTAACAGTCTTTTACCCTTCATAAAATAACCTCAAGCAGACATAATAATATTATGGCTTTTGAAATTAGGTATAACAATGCTAATTCATAACAAAGACGATATCCAATTCGTCACTGAATTCCCATGTTTTTTGGGACACCCTGTAGTGTAGATAATAACAAACACACGTTAGAATGAGCTTAACTGTCAAATGAAAAGTTCCCATCTGAATTAATATCAGGTGTCCAGTTACTATGCAGCCACGTGTTGGAGTTCCTAATCCTGTCATCAAGCTTAGAACTACAGCTCTTAGAGATGGACTCAGTTTAACTTCATTGTTTAATGAGTTTAGAGTATTCTCTCTTCATAATACTGGAGGATCCAAGATTATAAAACTGTTCATCCAACCTACTTTCTCAGATACACAGAAGAAGCTGATCTAATTGAAAATTAAATACATGTTTTGAGGTCCGAAGTTTTGTGTTGTTAATTCCTGGAACAAGCAAATATCCATATTCCGTATCTGTTGCTTTGATTTTCCAATCCATATATCCTTGCAACCCAATGTCGTAGACCATAGAATTCTGTTATAACAAATAGTCTAAGCTTTAAATATCTTAGATTTACACAATCAGGTTGCAAAGATAAAAGGATTAGAAAATTTAACTTTGGGGAAAGACTCAATTCCTCTTTTGCTGTTATATCATTAAAATATCAGGAAATCTATATAAAACTTTGAGTACAAAACTTTGACGTTATGGTTGCTGTTATATCTATATATACTAAGTACTAAACCTTAAAGTTATGGTTGCTGTTATATCTGCATATACGAAGTACTAAACCTTAAAGTTATGGTTGCTGTTATATCTGTATATACGAAGTACTAAACCTTAAAGTTATGGTTGCTGTTATATCTATATATACGAAGTACTAAACCTTAAAGTTATGGTTGCTGTTATATCTGTATATACGAAGTACTAAACCTTAAAGTTAAGGTTGCAGTTATATCTGTATATACGAAGTACTAAACCTTAAAGTTTTGGTTGCTGTTATATCTATGTATACGAAGTACTAAACCTTAAAGTTATGGTTGCTGTTATATCTATATATTGAGTACTAAACCTTCAAGTTATGATTGCTGTTATATCTATAAATACGAAGTAGTAAACCTTAAAGTTATGGTTGCTGTTATATCTATATACGGAGCTGGGCAGCATTCATAAACCACAACATTCCTCTGAGCTGAAGCAGATAACAATTGCCATTCGCCATTGTCCTAAAAAAATGTTTAGAAGTAAAACCTTATTTGAAATAAAAATCTATACACTATAATATTTTGAATTTTCAGTCAAAACATGAAAAACTGTGTAATTAAAGTGGCAATTGAATAAAATGTTCACAATATACTACTAGATACAATTTCATATTCAATTTATTCTAATCCTTGCAGTGCAGTATTTCTTATTATTATTGTATTTAGGTATAGTTTATATGTATTGAGGCAATAGGTTAATAATTGGGCCTGTATTACAAATGTCTATATTTCCTCTGAATTATCTTCTATTAAATGGCCTCTAACATGCTGTGTAACACCTTTAGCATATGGAGTAACTTCTGGTATGTCCAATAATCTGGTTTATGCAGTAACCTCTAATATGTCGAGTAACCTCTGATATATCAAGTAACCTCTAATATGTCCAGTGACCTCTAATATGTCGAGTAATCTCTGATATATCCAGTACCCTCTAATATGTCGATTAACCTCTTATATATCCAATAACCTCTAATATGTCCAGTGACCTCTAATGTGTCGAGTAACCTCTTATATATCAAGTAACCTCTAATATGTCCAGTGACCTCTAATATGTCGAGTAATCTCTGATATATCCAGAACCCTCTAATATGTCCACTGAATACTAATATGTCGAGTAACCTCTGATATATCCAGTAACCTCTGATATATCCAGTAACCTCTTATATGTCCAGTGACCCCTAATATGTCGAGTAACCTCTGATATATCAAGTAACCTCTAATATGTCCAGTGACCTCTAATATGTCGAGTATCTCTGATATGTCCAGAACCCTCTAATATGTCCACTGACCACTAATATGTCGAGTAATCTCTGATATATCCAGTAACCTCTAATATGTCCAGTGACCACTAATATGTCGAGTAACCTCTGATATATCCAGTAATGTCTATAGCCAGATAATAACCTTCGATATAGCTAATGACCTCTATTATGTCTAACAGCCTCTAACTACCTGGAATCCTGATGAATCTACCCCCTCGTCTAAGCTGGTTAGATTTATATAGAATCCATCATAAGTCCAAGTTCCAAATTTTAAATCACAACTCTGGTCATCAAATGGAAACCATGTGATATCAATGGTGCAAGTGGATTTAAAAATGCCTAAAAATAAATAAAACTATATGAAAGGGAATGTCAACGGTATTTTAATGAGAATTAAGAATAACGATAAGGAAAATTAACCCTATTTTCTATACCTGGTGGAATTTGGCTTACAGAACCATCATATCTAAATAAATAGGCTAGATTATCTACTTTTAACATAATATTTCACATATATATTCATATTACAGAACCATCATATCTAAATATTTAGGCTATATTATCTACTTTTAACATATTAAGGAATTAGTTTAGAATCTGGACGTATTATAGAGAGATTGAATAACAAAATAAGTTTATTGGTAAGAATATATGTATAGATTGGTAGGTATGATGATAGATATGATGTAGGGACTAGGGAGATAGGTAGAGGTGTAGGTAGGTGGATGAGTAGGTAGGAAGGGAGGAAGGCAAGTAGGGATTTAGGTAGAGATAAACGTAAGTAGGTATTTAGTTAATTTTATGCATTTAGTTACTTAGATATTATAGGTATGTAGGTAGGTAGCTAAGGAAGTAGTTGAAAGGTAGTTAGGTATTGAGGTAGATAGCTAGGGAAGTAGTAGATAGGTAGGGAGGTAGGTAGCTAGGGAAGTAGTAGATAGGTAGTTAGGTAGGGAGGTAGGTAGCTAGGGAAGTAGTAGGTAGGTAGTAAGCTAGAGAGGTATGTAGCTAGGGAAGTAGAAGGTAGGAAGTTAGGTAGGGAGGTAGGTAGCTAGGGAAGTAGTAGGTAGGTAGTTAGGTAGGGAGGTAGGTAGCTAGGGAAGTAGTAGGTAGGTAGTTAGGTAGGGAGGTAGGTACCTAGGGAAGTAGTAGGTAGGTAGTTAGGTAGGGAGGTAGGTAGCTAGGGAAGTAGTAGGTAGGTAGTTAGGTAGGGAGGTAGGTAGCTAGGGAAGTAGTAGGTAGGTAGTTAGGTAGGGAGGTAGGTACCTAGGGAAGTAGTAGGTAGGTAGTTAGGTAGGGAGGTATATAGAGATTAGGGAATTGGGAAGAGAGATTGAAATAGAGGTTGGTAGATTTATATAGGTTAGGTAGATATTGAGGTAGGATAGGAAGTAACGAGGAAGATAGGATATTACTTTGTAGGTTAGGTGGGTATTTAAATACAGGTATGGAAGGCAGTTTAATAGGTGCGTAAAGGAATTGAATCTTTGTCAGTTGTCAAAAGCTCAAATTTTCTAATTACTATAATCTTTTTAACCTGATGGTGCAACCTTTGATATTTTAAACCTAGATCATTTGATCTAACAGAATTCAGAGTTTGAAATAACTAAGATCTACAACATTGTGTTTCGAAGATATATGGATTAAAAAATCAGAGGTTCTGGCAAAGACTTAATTCCTATGCTTACTTGACAACTATATTAGTTGGAAAGGTAGCATCAAAAGCTTCATTAGCACTGTTGTACAGGAGGAGATCTGGACGCCACATGTTCTTCGGAGGTACACGGATATCCTTGTAAATGTAATAGTTTCTTTATTCAATGCAGCAGAGACAAAGAAAATTGCTCTAGAATTTTACACTTTTTAAATCTTGAAATTAAGTGTTTAAATGTGGGAAGAATTCCTTCACCTTACCTTGACTCCACCGTACTCTGAAAAGTTCCACATTAAAGCGTGATCATGCCAATCCAGATTTAACCAGATATTGCTCGTCATAATCTGGTTTTTCTCATCCAGATCTACTATCTGCTGTAAGCTTAATATAGATATTACAGATATTACAGATCGAGGATTTAATATCCAGAACTCGGAGTTAATGATTGAGAGAAAGATAGTTCAACTCACTCCCCTATGTTCAACTATATCTTTTTAGATGCTGCCTAGAGCTGAAAACTTTAGAGTGAGATATCCTTAATCCTGATCGCTTAATCGGACTATCCAATGTACACACTTTTGATTTTATTCTTAATCCTCTTTTTTGGATATCCCTACTGTATAAAAGTTACGTTTGATAACAATTACAGATACAGATACAATGCTGTACAATTAAAACCAGAAAAAAACCCGGGTTAAAGAGTACATCTTAACATGATTCGCTGATTGGTTGAATTTTATACTTCTTTCTTGGATATGCAGCGTATTAAAATAATCTCGGGTTTAGTAAAACCAGGTGTTTAAGCATTAATCTTGATATCTATCATTCTAAAGTTTTCAGCTCTGATAAATTTTCCCTATCAAAGTAGAAGGAGTTCAAAACAAAGGAATTGAGTCTTTGCAACAAACTCAAATTTTCTAGTCCCTATATCTTTGCAAACTGATTATGTGAAGTTATGATATTTCAAACTTTGATTATCTATCCTATCAGAATTCATAATGAAATATAGGGTCTATTACAATGGATTACAAAATTATAGGGATTAGGAAATTTGAGTTGGTGGCTAAGACTCAATTACTTTATGTACTTCTTGCAATATTCATGAATACCGATATCAGGTCATACCATCTGTTTATAGAGTTAAAAAAAATACAAAGACTCGATATTTGTTATCATATCTGTTTAATTTGAGACCATGAGGTTGATTAATACCTGATACTGACGGAGAGTTGAACGGGTTCAGATTCATTGTTGACCGGCCTTTCCAGCTTGTTGTAGTTCAAAAATAGGTCATTTAACAACCTGAAGTAGGTAAAGTTAATGTAGATGATAAGTATACATCTGAAAGCATTTCAAATAAAACTAAACGTGCATATTTTAATCTATACAGATACAGAAAGTACAAACACACATATGGATCAGGTCAATTGATACACACATGAAGCATGTGCATTGAAATGATGACCTGAATCCCAACATTAATTATTGAATATGATCTTGCAAACGTTAATAATCGAAAAAATTGAAGTTGAACAAAAAATCCTTTAAGTTATATGTTTTTTCTTCAAAATTGTATAAATCATCTCTGCAGTCCAATTATATGTTGTCCCCCCTGTCAATACCTCCTTTCATGCATGCTGGAGAGGGAGAAGGAGATGCAGTTCATGAACAAGCCCAGTCTCATCAGCTCCATCCTCATCAAAACAATGTCAAATCATTAAAACCCTGAAAAAAAACTAAATCTAAAAAATACTTGTTTATTTATATAACTTACATAATTATCCACTTCTTTCATACAAAAGATTATCTCTAACTTTGCTTATGAAATAAAATGAAAATGCTTGTAAAATAGGTAATTGCAGGTCTTGTTCTATTTTTCTTTTGTGATAATGTAATGCAGAAAATGTGATAAACAAAAATATACCATTTTACCTCTATAGTTTTTTTTATTAATAATACGTTCAGAATTTTTGGCTTTAGTCTTCACATTAGGTTAAATGTTTTTTTTTCTTCCGGTTTTTAAAAAAGAAATTAATATATTCCATCATTAATTTTTTACAGAGATGTATGCACTAGATTTTTACATTTAGAAGTAAAAACAAAAATTGAAACAGGTAAATCTCTTTCAGAAGAATTTAAAAGGTAAATATCTCCGGTAATATTGACAGCAGCACGAAAAAGGCAGACCACATTTTGGAAATGCCGGGACTAGGACAATTTTGTGGTTATTAGTTTAAGAATCATTCATGTTAAATTATGTTGGCAATTGAATGGCACTAATAATTTCCAAGATCAAAGCTACTTTTAATTCATATCATGCTTCGTGGGACACCCTGTAGATCAATTACACAATTCCTTTCAATACAATAATTCAGTTTAACAAAAAAATAGTCTTTTTTTTAATGAATCGTGTTAAAGGTTTGATACTGTTATTGTACGCGTAGTCATCGTTAACTGAAAGTAAATTTTAATTAATCAATGTGAAATAATATAAAAAGTCAAAGTGATTTAAGATTGGCAAAATCGAAAACTGATCGAACGCAGATATGAACAGCTCAAGAATTAAAACTTTTGAATAAAATGGATCGAAATTGATTCGAATTCATTGCATATCTGATACAGGGGCGTATTCTGGGAATTTGACCACGACCCTTTTTCCCCTTCTTCCCCCTTTTTCTCTTCTTTTTTCACCTTCTTCTCCCCTTTTTCTCCTCTTCATCTCCTACAATTCAAGCTTCTTCTCCCCTTCTTCCCCTTCTTTTCCCCTTTTTCTCCCCTTTTTCTTCCCTTTTTCTATCCTTTTTCTTTCCTTCTTATCCCCTTCTTTTCCACCTTCTCTCCTTTATCTCCGCTACCTCACTTTAGCGCAATTGAACATTAGTTTAATCTGCTTTTAGTCCGATCGATGTAGCATCAAATTATTAAAGTTCCGGTTCTAGAAACATGACTCTTATACCACTCTTAACGCTAATACCAGTGTTTAGGAAATACGGATTCGAAAAGACGACATTTAAACACCCTTTTCACACTGAACCAAACCAAATATATTGATAGATTAAGAACTGCGCGCAGTGCACACGTGTAGAGGAAGGAGGAACATTATAGTAAAAATATTTTTGTCGATCAATAGTTTACGAGCTTGTCGTGATTCTAGAATTTATCTTGAATCTTCTGTTTTTAAATGAATCTTTCTTTACATGTGTTTGGATGAATAGTACCATTTTCCTGACAAATTCCGTAAAACGCCGATTTATTATTTTCAGATAGAAGATGGCCCCACGTAAAGGAAAGAAGGAGACCAAGGAGGAGGTTCAGGTTCAGCTTGGACCTCAGGTAAATGGCGAAATTAAACTTCTGATCCCCCCTAAAGGCCCCCCTTAGTATATTCCTAGAGAACGATTTTTGACTATGATCTCAAATCATAGTCAGAGTCAAAGCAAGTTACAGCTCGACAAAGAAACCGGGCTAGTGTCTCGTTAAAATTAACCCGAAGCAGTGTGATTGTTGGAGGGCAAATTAAAATTATCGAATTAGAATTATCAGTTCGGACCATTATTAACAATCAACTCAATTAACAGTTTAAAATGGTACCATCCTTGACTCCCTTGACCTAATTATCAAATGACTTGACGCCATAATAAATTAATTATAATTCATATCATATCCACCATTCTAAAGTTCCCAGCTCTGGACAAAGCTAAAGGACGGCGTTTTCAAGTATTTTTTTTGCTCATGGCCTTCTTCACCTTATTTCAGCGCTTATTCGAGTTTGTAATATATGTAACATGTTTATTCTTTCTTTGTATAATTTTGTAAAATTGTGAAGGTTCGCGAGGGAGAACTGGTGTTTGGTGTTGCACACATCTACGCTTCATTCAACGATACCTTCGTTCATATCACTGATCTTTCTGGCAGGGAAACTATTTGCAGGTAAATAGATCCAATATTTTGATGAATTTGAGGGGGGGGCAAATGTTATGATTATTTTGGGATTCAGTCTCCTTCTCCTCCTCCCCCCCCACATATTCCTGTATACGTCGTTGTTTAAAATTGTTTAAATTCACCAGAATTATATTCAGTCTCCTACTCCCCCCCCACATATTCCTGTATACGTCGTTGTTTAAAATTGTTTAAATTCACCAGAATTATATTCAGTCTCCTACTCCCCCCCCACATATTCCTGTATACGTCGTTGTTTAAAATTGTTTAAATTCACCAGAATTATTACAAAATGAAGAATAAAGATTTATTATAAGCATTTAGCCTGCTCAAGGTTCAACAGCCTCATAACGGGTAAGAATGGTGTCACCCGACTTTTTTGACGATAATTCATCTCAATGGTATATTTATAAAACAATAACATCAAAGTTAATGAGTGGTTCATTTGTTATATGTAATACTGGGTTTAGTTTTTTATTCTTATATATTTTCAGAGTGACCGGAGGTATGAAGGTGAAGGCTGATCGTGACGAAGCATCTCCCTACGCTGCTATGTTGGCCGCCCAGGACGTTGCCGAGAAGATCAAGGTATAATACTTCTTCAAACTTTTATTAATTGAAAAAATACAGATACAGTATTATGAATAGATTTCAAACATACATTAAAAAAATATGTTAAGAAATGCACGAGTGCTTAAATTTAACAATGAAATTGCTTAACGAAATTTACTCTCTTTATAAATATTTATGAGATGAAAAAAACAAAAAAAAACAGCTTGTTCTGACAAATATAAGCTGGAGACTGTTGGACATATTAAGACAAATAGAACACAGATATTTAGTGATCTTGAGCCATTATTGAATTGGACAGTAATCATCATGGCATTTTAACGTTTTCATTGAATGAACCTTGACCAAAAAATGGCAAAGAAAGGAACATAAAAGTTATTGCAAATACTTAAAATGATTTACGCCAAAGATTGTTGATAATATTAGTAGGTATAATACACCGTACACCGCATAACATCTAGAGAGAAAATTATATTTGATCATAATAGATTAATTACGCCGTGCTAATTGAAAATAACTCGTGAATGACTGAATTTAATAAGTCAATGATTAGATACTAAATTAAACCTGTCAGTTGAAGTCAAAGAACATTTAAATTTAATAAGGAATAATTAATTTGAGACATGAATGCGTTTTTGAACTGAAAAATAGATCGTTCAACAAAATAATGAGAGTTTACTCACTTACCTTCATTTAAAACCTTGATTAAACTAATAATAATTTGATTTTAGACCCTTGGAATCACTGCTCTGCACATTAAGCTCCGTGCCACCGGAGGTAACAGGACCAAAACTCCCGGACCCGGAGCACAATCCGCTCTCCGAGCTCTCGCCAGAGCAGGAATGAAGATCGGCAGGATCGAAGATTGCACTCCCATCCCCTCCGATTGTAACAGGAAGAAGGGAGGTCGTCGTGGACGCAGGCTCTAACTTTTAATCTGATAATCTTGGATAAAAACCTTGTGTTATATTTCAGATACAGAATGAAGCCGTTAATGATGCACGGGCACGAGAGGTCAATCACCCAGATCAAGTATAACCTCGACGGAGACCTGCTTTTCAGCTGCGCTAAAGATCATCACCCTAACGTGTGGTACTCCGTGAACGGAGAGAGGCTTGGTACCTACGACGGGCATAGCGGCGCCGTCTGGTGTCTGGATCCTAAATGGGATAACTCGCATCTTGTTACAGGTTAGGTACCATACTTTAAAAAATTTGTTAAAATAGTAAGCAGTGCTTAGGATCCGGATCCGTTGGATCCGCAAGATTTTGGCTTGGATCGCAAAAATATGCGGATCCACGGGGTAAAATATCAACTACGAACTGCAAAAAAACTGTTTCTCCTGAAACACAAATCTGAACTCTTAAAAAGAAGAGATTATAAAATTTCCTTATTTCTGAATGGTTCATCTAGTTTTAGGATAAAAATAAGCGAATTAAAAGTAAGCAAAAAATTTGAAAATTATTTTTTGTTAAATAATTCAGTAAATCTTGAAGAAACGACCTGGATCTGGATCCGGATTTGGATCCGGATCCATTTTTTTTCCAGTGCGGATCCAGGATCCGGATCTGGTTCCGCATCAAAATTAAATGGATCCTAAGCACTGATAGTAAGAAAGAAAATGATTATCTGCAGCCAATATTAGAGATTTAACAAATTTATCATTTTACAATAATTCCAAATACTTCAAGAGAGTTTTCAACTGATACGCATTAGTCCCACCGGTATCTCATCTAGTATATTTTTCTAGCTATGAAATGATTATTTTTAAATGCGGTTCGAGTTTATAATCTTTTGTGCGGCTTTAAGCAGTAGAATTGACTGAACACTAACTAAAGATAGAAAAGCTGCTATATCTTCCTTGTTGGGACACTGGTTGATAAATATTTGCGTTCTGAGTTTTAAAATAAAGAATATTTTTACACTAAAATTCGGTGACGGTGATGGACCATTCCTCTGTAGAGTAAAAAAGTAGAAGTTAGTTCCGCATTTATTGAAAATATATTTCGGTCTGGGTGACCCTCGTCAGTTCTTGAGATTGTTTCTGTCACATTTAACATTTATGTTCAGGTGCTGCCGACAACAGCTGTCGTCTGTGGGATATACAGACCGGTCAACAGATTGGAATAATTGAAACCAAATCAGCTGTCAGGACATGTAATTTCTCATACAGGTAGATGATTAAAAAGTATTTATGTTCTGCTTTTTAATTTATTTGGTTATGGTGTTGTTGAAATGCGAATATTAATGAAAGGTTCAAAATGTTCTATATTTTCCCCTCGAAACAAAATTCTACAGTAAACTAAGTAGTTGTTTAGGAACAGGTAGTGAAAATAATTAATTCTCTTCATCGAAATTAAGTATTCTTATTCTATTATTAGTTTCGGTATATTCCTAGAGAACGATTTTTGGACCCCCACCCCAGGCCCCCCCCCCCTCCTATCAATTTTGTACATTGATCTTAAATGTTAGACATGGATATAATTGACCATGTGGCCGCAGCGCTCGGCCCCCTAGCCTGTCCTAGACGTAGCGGCCCAGAAAGTGTCTTAACCTAACCTAACTCATAATAAGAAATAAATACAAATTTTAATTTCGTCATATATAAAATTGATAGGTGGGGGGGGGGGATCCAAAAATAGTTGACTAGGACGGACCCTTAGTTTCCATCAGCACATCTGCAGATTTTCTGGAATTTTTATTAAAAATACGACATTTGAAGAATTTAAAGAAACTGCAACCAAATCATAGAAATTAAGAAATTCAATATAATGATGATTAAGGAAAAAATTAATTCTATCTTGTATTTATTGACAAATTTCTATTGGGAAATTTGCTCCTAAACATCTAATTAGTTTACTTCAGAATATTTACTATATTTTTCGTCGTCGTTATTTAATAATGATATAAAAACGATTCTAAAAACGTATCCACCCAAATTCACGATTTTTAACGTCAACTTTGCGCCCAAACTCAATTGAATTACTTTACATAGCCGGCCTATCCCTTTAAGTATAAGTGAACTGAAAATCTTGGTTCTAGCTCAAAATAAAGTTGTATAACATCTATATATTAATAATTCTGCGTCGAAGCATTTTTCATAATGTCTTCTATTAAACCTACAATATCAACTTTATGTTTAGTGGAAACATGGTTTGCTTCACTACAGACAAGCAGATGGGTTACCCATGCGAGATTAATGTTGTGGACGCCAGGGTGTTTAACACTGATAATCCCGTCTTCAAGATCCCGATCCCTGCAAACGGACCTAAGGTCAGCTCCATGATCTGGAGTGGATTGGACAGCTACTTGTTGACCGGTAACCTCAGTTTCAAATACTTTACTAAATCCCCTTCGATTGTTAACGTTAACGAAATTTTAAGTGTTCCTTGATACCTTTATGTGATTAATAATGGGGAAGATATTGTTTTTTCTTTCTAGGTATAGAAATGTTTTTTTTTTATAATTATGACCCTACACGGTTAACGCAGTAGTTGCGAAATTTACTATTTAAGACTATCAACAATTGCGAATAACCGGGTTTCAAACTAATAAAAACAGTCATCTCTTACTTAAACTTAAAAAAGGCAAAGTTTTTAAGGGTACTGTTGTGAATCAGGCATTGTCATAATAAAATGGAGAGTCACTTAAAATTGCGTTTACATTCCCTTTAGTGTGTTATCTCCCGCTCTCTAGTTAATAATCCTATGTACTACAAAGAATATTCATTCCTTAGGATAAAGCCTATCTACTAATTTGATTTGATTTAACCTATTATAATTTTCTCCCTCGTTGTTATTATTAAATTTATCTGTCAAAAGGATAAACATGCCATAATGCGGTTTCATATATTTGGTTTTTTGCTTAAAATTTTAAGTAGAAACAAATACTAGCATTTTCTATTCTATATTGTCAACTCTGACTAAGAATAAAAAATCTGCAATTCTAACTGAAATTGTTTTCTAGGACACGACAACGGAGATCTAGTTCAGTGGGATGTAAAGGCACAGAACAAGCTTAAAGTTGTGTCCGTCCACGGCAAGTCGATTGCTGATATGCAGAGCAGCAGGGACGAGAAGATGTTCATCACAGCTTCAAAGGTGATCGTTAATTCTTAAACTCTCTGTGAGGGGGGGGGTGCTTCTGAAACTTTTGGGTGTCTACTTGGATTAGTAATTGTTCACGCTTAATCGTTAAAATAGGGGAGAGTTTAATTGATGATTTTATATTTTGTTCAGCTCAAAACTTGAACATTTAAATCTCTGAGCTTTTAAAATCTGGATAACGAGCGAGAAAGGACTTAAACTTATCGTGGACTTTAATTAATTGATATTTACAGTGTCACTTCCGTTGTTAACCAGCTTTAATGGTTTAAGAATCCGATTCAGATTAGGAATAATTTCGTCGTAAGTTAATCTGACGATACTCATGAATTATCCCCTTAAATCACGTTGATAAAATATTTTCTGTTCAGGACACCTCTTCGATTTTGTGGGATGCTGACACCCTGGAGGTGTTGAAAACCTACAAGACGGAGAGACCTGTCAACTCCGCCTCCATCAGTCCTCTCTTCGAGCACGTCGTGCTGGGTGGAGGTCAGGACGCCATGGACGTGACTACTACCTCAACCAGGATCGGAAAGTTCGACGCTCGATTCTTCCACATGGTGTTCGAGGAGGAGTTTGGTCGAGTCAAGGGGCATTTCGGTCCGATAAACTCTGTTCAGTTCCGACCTGACGGTAAAGGATATGCTAGCGGGGGCGAGGACGGTTATGTTAGAGTTCACCAATTTGACGACGCGTACTTTGATTTCAAGTTCGACTTCTAGACGCCACGAGAGTCCAGTGTTAAAAATGAACTCTGAATCACGAAGATGGGGGCACCTTGGTTTGGGCTCCCCCTGTTACACCAAGGTGCCCCTGTATAACGGCGGTGTTTGGATCTTGATAAAGTATTGTACGAAGTGATGTATTTATAAACAAAATATAAATTGTAATTATGAATTTTGCTTAGCTTTACTTCTGCAGTCAGCAGAAAAAATGGGTTTAACAGGAATTTATTCAGCTCTAGAATTTAGTATCAAATTATCAAAGATTAAAGTTCTCGGTAGATTTCTTCTCGGTTGGTAATTAAAAATAATCCGGGAGAAGGCGTTTCGCATATGACCCCACNACATTTTGCTCTAGCACTCATTTGTCACTGTCCTCTTGAATTTTTTTTCTTATATGGAATAGTAATACCAAGGAATTTTAACAAAAGTTTAATTTGGAGGGTGGGATTGCACGGCCGTGATGAACCCTTAATATGACCTAAATGATTTCCTGAGCTTCTGGCTACGTTTCAAGCCTCCGCCATTCTGTCTTCATGACCCGCAATCTAGTCTCCAATAATAAATATTTGGTTTTTTATCCACCCAAAACTTGGAATCAGATAATCTCAATACTATATAATTTAGTAATTTGTATTCTTCAGTCAATTTTAATTGAGATTTAGACTTCTATTTTCGTTTTCTAATTTTCATATAATTCCACAACTGCAGTTTTACATGAGATAATTATGGATATTGAAGCAATAAGTTTCTTCAAAACTTCAAGAAGTAAATGCGTACTTGAACGAGCGGGGGAAGGCAGGCGGCCATGATCCATCACCATTTCCTCTTCCGTGTCGCATATTAGTTTGTTCTATTCCGGCAGCCATGAACCACCACTTTTTTGCCCTTCTGGGCCACCACATATGACTCTTCCGGGCAACTATTTTTTTAAAGGGAGTGTTCGCGAAAAATGAAAGGGGGTACAGGCTTAATGCGATAAAAAAGCGCTTTTGATCGCCACTAATCTTCTATCTGTTGCGTCTATAAGGAGAAAATTCTTAAAGGCGTCTCATACCGAATAACATGGCGTCCATACAAATTGAGAAAAGTGCAACATACGACTTAGACCGTAAAAAAATCAATTTAATTTCAAACAAATCATTCAGATATTACAACCTATAGTCATCGATTATCTTTCGTCACATTTATATATAGTTGATTTTTCATAATATGTTTTAATTGTTATGATCTGAGAGTTACGTTTATTCCTGTTTCGAGGATTTTTGGTAATGAAGACGACATTATCATATTTTCCAGGAATGTTCGAAAACAAGTTGTAAGCTAAATATTATTTTAAAAAACAAAATCAAAACTAGTATGAAATATCAATTATATACAAATGTGGCGAAAGATAATCGATGACTATAGGTTGTAATATCTGAATGATTTGTTTGATATTAATTTGATTTTTTTACGGTCTAAGTCGTATGTTCCAACTTCCTCAATTTGTATGGGCGCTACGCTCTTCGGTATGAGACGTCTTTATCAATTTTCTCCTTATAGACGCAACAGATAGAAGTAAGATTAGTAGCGATCAAAAGCGCTTTTTTGTCGCATTAAGCCTATACCCCCTTTCATTTTTCACGAACACTCCCTTTAAATGGTACATTTATGGCCTTTAAATTGTGATTTTAAAAATTCCAGCCGTGTCACCCATAAAAAAAAACACAACTCGATCTTTTTTCTGTTCTACAGAGCGTCCCATATTATATTAGACTTTCTTCAATCTTTAAAACCTAAATACGCACATTATACTAAAAAAATCTAGCATTTTCTGAAAAAATAAATCTATCAGCCTTATTCAATTTTTCAAAATGATTCATACTTAAATTTTCTGAATTGTCCCCCAAATCGTAATTTAGACCCATTGACGCGGTCTAATTTGATGTGGGACACCCTGTACATAAGATTAATAAATTAAAATACACAAAAGATGTCGGTTGTTTTAGATTTTAGCCGGTGTAACATTACCGAAAAGAGCTAATATGTGGTACGAATAGGGAATTTGTTCGGATAAACTTTTTATTTGGACTAGTCCTTTTGAACAAATGTTTGTTCAGTTTAACTAATTTTTCATATTTTAAGAATTACCTGTTACTGCAATTGTCAAAGTATTTATAACAAAAAATCGCATGGTGTAATCAATTATTTGAGGGTTAAATTAGGTCACGATAATATCTGGGTCGAGCACTGCAGCTGGGATTGGTAAAGTGGCCGAGCGCTACTGCTAGAACAGTATATAGGGGGCCGAGCGCCGAGGCTAGGACAGGCTATGTGGCTGGGGTTGCGGCATGTCTAGTTGTTCCATGGGTTGCGGCCACAGATCTCTAAAATTATAATGACTGCATGTGTTATAATACTTTTATTAATTTTTTAAACATTTTTTCATTTGATAATAATTAATTTTTATTTTGTTTAAATGAACTACAGGGTGTCCCACGAAACATGACAGTTGGTAAATAGTGTTTAAAACGACTTTTTCCGGATTATTTGTTCAGTTGTTTGATACCAAAGATCAATGAAAATATTATATGGGAGTCATGTTATATTAAAATTGATTTCAAAGTAAAATATAATTAGGCAAAAGATTTGTTTAACTAAAAATAACTATTTATTAAATGTCATGTTTCGTGGGACACCCAGCTGGGTAACGCGTGTCAGGAATTAATTAAGTTTTACTCAATTCTCACAATCATAGAAAATTTAGATCTGTTTAAAAAAAATTTACGGAATATTAAATTTTTTAATTTTATACTATGGCTTTTAAACTTAAAATGATTGTTTTTATCCTTTTCTGATCTCTACTTGTTTTTAGTCATTAACTTAATTAGATAATTACCTAGAGAATAATTTATGCACTAGGACTTAATAATTTTGTTTGTTAAGTGGAGTGTCTTCTTATTTGTTAGTGAATGAGAGTGATATTTAAATTATTGATTTATTTTTCATTTTATGAAGCCGTACAAATATGGTCAGGGTATAGTTTTGTAATCCCATATTCTATTCACTCCAGTTAAAACATCTTTCAGACATGGCCGCCGGTTCTCAGTTCAGCTCCATTGACGAATATGGATTCATACGGTCAAAAAGTTTCGACTTGAGCGGGCAAGAGGAGTTCATGAAATCCTATCTCCGTATATTGAGCTCCCGGGCTCAGAAATGGGATAAAATCGTGAAACGAGGTTATGATAAAATGGAACGTGGGATCAGGCTAAAGAGATATATCAGGAAAGGTATCCCGAGCTCTCATAGAAGAGGAGTCTGGATGGAGATAAGCGGAGCTGGTAAAATGAAAAAAGAAGAACCTGATCTATTTTCTACAATGCTCAATTTACCGACCAACCGTGTAGTGTTGGACCAAATCGTGACCGATATGCCTAGAACGTTCCCGAACAACGTAAACTTCGACAGTACTAATCCTAACTCAATGCAGAAACCTCTCTTGAACGTTTTAACAGCATTTGCTAACTCAAATCCTAGTATTGGTTACTGCCAAGGATTAAACTACATCGCTGGATTACTTCTTTTAGCAACACGTGACCAAGACTCCTCGTTTTGGCTGCTGAAAGCTCTCGCTGAAAAGATTCTACCGGATTACTATTCTCCGTCTATGCCGGGTCTAACTACTGATTTCAAGGTTTTAGCAGAGATCTCACGTAAAGATATCCCGCTACTTGCGCGACATATCGACGGTTTACAGATGCCCTGGGCGCTAATTTGTTCCAAATGGTTTATTTGTCTCTACGCTGAAGTTTTACCGACCGAGACTGTTCTACGAGTCTGGGATTGCTTGTTTGCTGAAGGCTCAAAAGTCCTGTTCCGGGTTGCTCTAACTATCTTGAAAATCCACGAAAAAGAATTCTTGGAAAAGAGAGATTTCGCGGATTTAATAGAGGAATTCAAACGGTTTCTTAATTCGCAAGAGGTTCTGAACTGTCACAGTTTTCTCGAGAAGGTTTATCAGAATTCAACAAGCTTGACCCGAAGTAAATTGGCCAAACTTAGGGTAGAATATGGAAACCAAACTAGAGTCGAACAATTAGAACGGGATAAAAGACGGAGAGAAATTAATAACTAGTGATATTAAGAACTAAACATTAGTAAAATGGATTTTAAAACAAATTTGTTGTACCAAAGAATACTGTGATATTGACTGTTAAGTCTCCTAGTCTGTTTACTTAATTCTAAATAGTTTTTTAATTAGCTTTAATCGAAATCTTGATTCCTTTTTTTGTTATTTTTACATTGATACTCGTATATATATATCAGGGTATACACATTTCATACTCAATTAATTTTTCGGGAGTTTTATACCAAGAAATGATAATTTTGTTATTTATTGTTATATGATAAATATGTTTTTAATTGACTTCATGATTTATTGAAAAAAAGTATATTTCAGAGAAGATGTGGTTACGAGAGTTTAGTGAGATATTCGATGTCCTCCCGTACTACTTGCTGGTCTGCCTCCCCATCTTCATCGCCTTGTCCCCGATCAACCCCGTGGAGTCCGCCTCCGAGCTCGATGTTCATAGACTAGCTCAGTTTGAACTAGGAGGAAACCTACATGGATCTAAACAGGTGAATTTTTTATCTATTTCTCCGGGGGGGGGGATTCCCCCCCCCCCCTCCATTGTTGTTTTTATCTATAACTTAAAAACGCCTTATACTTTAGGGCGCTCTCATTTATCTGTTCCAACTTCACAATAAAGAATAAGTTTTTGCCTAATTTTTAATACTTAGGTCGGTGTTTTATGATTTTATAATTTAAACTTTATAATTTAAACTACTGATCTTGAATTTATGTGTTTGAAGATGTAAAAATGAATGTAAAACATGTGTATTGTACATTTTGTCAATTTTTTACATTTTACTTTTGGAATAAATAAAAAAAATTGGGGCCGCAGCATTTAAGTAAAGAATTATATTTTTTTTTAAATACTTCACTGGTCTCTAACAGGGCAACGTAGAAAAAAGTGAGATTATTTTGAATTTGTTTTCAATTACTACTCTTTCCACTTTCGAATCAGTTATTTATTCCTTAAAGTTATATCCACGCATTTACAGTTTGAAAAATAAGATTTCTTCCAAAGAAACTAAGACAAGTATATGAATCTTCTTAAAAGGATGATTCCAAATGTATGACAAATATGGGTTTCCTATTCCTCAATTCTTATTTTTTCCCAGCTTTTTGTCAGAACCTTTTAATGTAACCATCTTGGCCTCCTATAAAAAATATTTGTTTAAGGCCGACTTACTGTAATTTGTATTGTTTAACACAATCTGATTTCGTATAAGTCGAAAATTCGAATTCATTTAAAGATATTGCACTGATTGACGTTTGGCAAATTGGCAAAGTTGAAATTGAGAAAATCAACAAAATTTGATGCACCCTAACTCTGCAAGGTGTTTACATTGGTATCGGCCACATAATTACTTATCTTTTATCCTTCTGATAAGAATGCATAACACATATTTATAACTTATATTAAAGAGTAAACTTTTAATAAAGTCTTTAATTTGATAAGTTTCTAATCTATCTATTTATAAATATTGATCTCTAAACTACGTTAGTTGTCAATCCACCTCCCCCCCCCAATATTTTATCAAGGCTTTATGTGCTGACCGCAGTGTTCTGCAGTACTCTGACGGAATGAAAAGTGGGGTTTAGTGGAAAACTCCCCCCTCGCCCTCCTAAAATAAATTCCCCCAATCTGTTGAAACATTTCATAAGTTTTTTCCCATGCTATCCCAAATCATTGAATTTATTTCCCGCCCGGTGGGGAGGAGGGATTATTTTTTAAAAATATGTACCCACGAATCTACTATCTATCTTCTTTCTAGGCTGCTCTGACTATGGATGCTCGTGGACCTGGTGTAAGCCAGGTTGTGAGGAAAACTGTAGTTGTAAAAATGGCTGAACTCTCCGTGGCCGGGTTTAGAGATCTAGTCTCGAGCGGGGTGGGAGGCCTCCTCCTTCTCATCCCTCCAGGGCTAGCTGGACTGAGTGCAGAGGCTAGAGAGGCTGTTCTACAGTTAGAGGAGGAGCTGGTGGGCGGGGATCTTGAGATTCCTGTCTACTTTGCAGAGGTAGTCTTTACAGCAGACAATACAAAGATTTTTATCAATTTAAAGAGTCTTACTGAAGAAGTTATTTCCATTTATATTGCTGTTTAGGGAACTTGATTTAAAACTTTCTGAGCAGCCTTGAAAGAAATTAATAAAAATGATTAGAAAAGCATGTAAAACTTCAGGAAATTGGCATGAGTTGAAGAAATCGCTTAAGAGTTGAATTAGGAACTATGTGTTCACTGGACGATTATAAATGAAATAGAATCATGTACTATCATATATTCAGGAGAACCCTGAGCTGAATGAACTATATGAGACCCTGAGATCTGAAGGTGAAGGGGGAGAGGATGCGTCCTCTGCCCTGGCAGCTATGATGAGTAGTATATCTAACAGCGGATATCAGTTAATTATATCCGCTCCAACTCCACAACCTGTTAAAGATCAGGTATATGGATATCAAGAATTCCACTCTTGCACNGGGGGGGGGGGGTTATAAAATGACCTTTCAATAGAATATTCCCAAGGAATGATTTATTCTCTTTTCCGCGCAAATACTAAAGGTAAAAACTCATTTATTTTCCCTTATTCAGTAATAAAACCATTAAAAAATGTTGCCTCTCCGCGCAAACATACCTTAAGGGTACCGTAAGGGGAAACTATTTTCAAAAGAGGGGTGGGAGGGAGGGGGGAAATGTTTTTTTTACGTAATTACATAAACCCCTGGTTGGATGTTTCTGTTAACATGTTGTGTTTGTCTAGGCTGTTGTATCAACCTCTGGTCTCCTCGGAGGATCAAGTGGAGAAGACCAGCTCCCAACTATCCTTGTAGTTGCTCATTACGATGCCGGAGCCGGAGCTCCCAGTCTTGCCACCGGAGCGGATAGCAATGGTAGCGGAGTATCAATACTGCTGGAGCTTGCCAGATTATTCTCAGCACTTTACTCAGGGTCCAGGTATAATAATAATAATAGTATTAATAATTGATAGATCTAAAAGGGAACCAGACATGGAACCCCCACACCGCCTTCAGGACGCAATGCATCAACATACAGCGTACGGCCTGGATCCATCCAGGCGAATTTACAATTTCTAACGCCCACACACTAGTGATAATACCACAATGACGCATTGATGGGAATTCACGAAATGTAAAATGATTAATTATAATTAAATTTATGTCCGATGTTACTTTACAAAATAGCTGAATCCTTGCAGTAGAAATGCGGTAGGGGGTTTCATCAAATTTTCCCACTACATGCAGCTTTGTACTCTGTGGATAATGGTTTACATCATTATTTTTTACAGAAGTTTCAGTTATAAATGTCATAATTTTGATTGATTCATAATGTGCGCTCTTTCATTTTTCGTAATGCTTCGATAATTGCTTAGTTAAAAAACATTTTAATGTTGGGAGCAGCTTGAGCCTTGAGTAAGGACAATACAAAATACACAAATACTTTTATTCATTCTCACTTCTCATCCTTGTTTTCCTGCTCTCTGGTGGTGGAAAACTGAACTATTTAACCCCATATATATGTATATTTAGAACCCATCCAGCGTATTCCCTTGTATTCCTGCTCTCTGGTGGTGGAAAACTCAATTATCTAACCATATATATCTATATTTAGAACCCATCCAGCATATTCCCTTGTATTCCTGCTCTCTGGTGGTGGAAAACTCAATTATCTAACCCTATATATCTATATTTAGAACCCATCCAGCATATTCCCTTGTATTCCTGCTCTCTGGTGGTGGAAAACTCAATTATTTAACCCCATATATACCTATATTTAGAACCCATCCAGCGTATTCCCTTGTATTCCTGCTCTCTGTTGGTGGAAAACTGAATTATTTAACCATATATATCTATATTTAGAACCCATCCAGCGTATTCCCTTGTATTCCTGCTCTCTGGTGGTGGAAAACTGAACTATCTAACCATATATATCTACATTTAGAACCCATCCAGCGTATTCCCTTGTAGTCCTGTTCTCTGTTGGTGGAAACCTGAATTATCTAACCCTATATATATATCTATATTCAGAACCCATCCAGCGTATTCCCTTGTGTTCCTGCTCTCTGTTGGTGGAAAACTCAATTATCTAACCATATATATCTATATTTAGAACCCATCCAGTGTATTCCCTTGTATTCCTGCTCTCTGTTGGTGGTAAACTGAACTATCTAACCATATATAACTATATTTAGAACCCATCCAGCGTATTCCCTTGTATTCCTGCTCTCTGGTGGTGGTAAACTGAACTATGCCGGGACTAAGCGCTGGCTAGAGGAGCACCTTGATCATGATACAACAAGTGATCTTCTCTCAAACGTCAAGTTTATTCTCTGTCTCGATTCCCTCGGCAAGAATAAGTAAGTTAGTCATCTGATTTTTGGTACCATTTATGAACAGATTCGGGGTTTCTTTAACAAATATGTTCCAAAATTGTCCAGGCTTTGTTCTCTTGCTTTCTGAAATCTGGTGATTCAGAATGAAAAATGATCCCGTCCTCTACCATTTACAAATAACAAAAAAATAATGTGATAATGTGTCCAACCCTACTGTAAAAACTGCAATGTCATGGAGTCCAATTTGACTTTGATTGTTCAATTGTTTAAGCTGCAAACTTACTAATAAGTTATGAGGTATTTTATCTCTTGCACACCAAATTGCGTTCTAGTCGGTTCAAAATTCAGTGCATTTTAATTAAGACCTCTGAATCTGCATGTGTCTAAGCCTCCTAAGGAAGGTTCTGCTGGAGCTATTTTCCTTGAGAACCTCAGATCTGTGTCCTCCGCTCTCTTCCCGAACCTACCTAAACCAGAGATGGTTCATAAGAAGATTAATCTGGCCGATGATACTCTCTCATGGGAGCATGAAAGGTTTTCTATCAGGTATGAGGGGTTATTTACACCACTTATTTATCTGTAAACATAGAGTCTCCATCATGCATGTTTTTTTAATGTATAATCAAACAAAAAGTTATTTCTAGACGGTTTTATAAGACACCTCGGTTAACTTGTCCATTTTCCAAATTAATTCGTTATTCTCCAGTAAGATGTTTATTGTTTATGGATCAATACATAAATCAATAAACGGTCCTCTAAACCTTACATTTTGGATCTCCTCTCCGGGGTGCATTTACTTTTCCCAAAAGTAATTTGAACAAACAGGAAAGAAAAAATAAAAATAGAATAATTACCTAATAGATGAAAGGCTTCATAGAAGAAATATCTTTGTAAAAATATACATTATACATCACATTTTTCATCTCCACTAAACATTTTGGAATCAATAATCAAACCAAAAATTATTTCTAGACGGTTACCTGCCTTCACCCTCTCCCACTTCACCAGTCCGCGCAATCCAGAGCGTCAAACTCTCCTAGATTCAACCTCAGAAGTGTCTGGAGCTGTTCTCCAGCGGAACACGAGGCTGGTGGCGGAGGCCCTGGCCTGCAGCCTCTACCCAAGGATGGAGAAGACGACCTGCAGCGGAGAACTATTCTCCGGGTCCCTTGAGCCCAAGGAGGAGTCTCTCATGGGTTGGTTGAGATTGGCAACTTCATTCCCAAGACATCCTAGTCTTCTCTCAGATAAAAACTCAGGTATATCCATATAATAAAGCTCTTCGCTCATCTCATATATATATATGAGGCTTCAGAGACGACTGATTGACATTCATCAAGTTTTAAATTCTTAAATTCCTGGTACCCTGTCAGAACATTTTATATATCCTTTTAAACTTAATTCAAAACATCAGTCCAAAATTAACTTTTTGATCGTTATATTTTAAGAGTAAATGTTTTTATAATTTTTTTTTTATTATTTTTATAAAAACTTTAACGTTTGATATTGTTTTCTAGAAATAAATATTTCCTCTCGAAATCATTTTTTCTCGGAACCTTGAGTTTCAGCAATACAAAATCATCTTTTGATTAACATAATTAATATTCTTTTGCGACGTAAGGACAAATTCTTTAAAAGGAAATGTATTTCCGACATTGAAATTCATCGACAATTGCTCTTGATTGTTAACGCTACTTCAAAATTTCGTAAACAATTCCTTTATCGCTTGTTTGTGAAGACCTCGTGAAGAGCTTGACGTCTGCCCTGGCCAGGTACACCCAGGACGTAAGCACCGTGGTTGGAACCCCGGATAGGAGGGAACCTGAATATGTTCTTTATGATACTGCTACTGCAACCATGAACGTTTACAGGTAATATGTTTATTTGAACCATGATCGACTTCCCCGGGGGGGACAGAAGGATTGGATAAGACACAAACTTGACAACTTTTTTTATATTTTTTTGCTCAGAGGGGGGGGGGG